TTATCCTTTCAAGTAATTTTTCTATTTATTTTCCCTTATTATTTTTCCACATAATTTTAAAGTTATTTGTCTGGCTTAAGAGATATTCTATTCACATGAAATTTATAGACTACCACAGACAAAATTGGAAAATTTTCGTCTTGACATTTCTGTCAATATCATATGGATTTCTTCTTATTCTAGTTTTAATTTTATTTATTTATTTATTTATTTATTTTATTTATTTATTTATTTATTTTCGAGACAGGGTTTCTCTGTGCAGCTTTGCGCCTTTCCTGGAACTCACTTGGTAGCTCAGGCTGGCCTCGAACTCACAGGGATCCGCCTGCCTCTGCCTCCCAAGTGGTGGGATTAAAGGCGTGCACCACCATGGCCCAGCTTTATTTTATGGCTCTTGGAAGTATCTTAACACTACCTCTAAATTATTTTTTTGCTTTAATTTTAAATCTATTCCTATGTTCTTTATTTCGGTGCTACGGTAAAGGGCTTCCTCCCTTCAATTATATATGTACTTTAAAGATCTATTTATTTTTATTTTATGTTTATGAGTGTTTTGCTTTTATGCATGTAAGTGCACAGCACACGTGCATGGTACCTGTGGAGGCCAGAAGAGGGTGCCAGAGCTCATGAAAATGGAGTTATGGGAGATTGTGAGCCACCATGTAGGTGCTGAGACTTGAACCCTGGTCCTGTAAAAGAAAGGCAAGTGTTCTTATCCACAGAGCCATCTCTACAATCTATCCTTTGTTTATATTTTATATTTTGAGTTTTCAGTGTCTTTTATGATGCTGTGTAAAGTTTTAAATTTTTTATATTGTTAAAAATTGCTGATCTTGTCATGGTTCTTCTCTATTCCTTCTGCTTGAGTGCAAAGGTAAAAATCTATGGAAATGATATGGGATATATTTGTTTTCTTTTTTGCTAAATTCGGTGGGTAAGGCTCATATGCATTACTTAATAGCATAATCTAGTCTTCTGTGGTGATTGCATTATAATTATCTAAATCTCAAGCATGGTCTACATAGCTCAGTGATTGGAAACTTTTTCCTAAGATAGTGGTTGCAGTCCCTCGGATCCTCCAATACCATTTACACCGTGACCGCACAGGTAGGAAGCAGTCTTTATCCTCCCGTTGCTTCTGGGATCAAGTCCTTTCCTCTAATTTCTGACAGGTTCCTTATTGCCAGCTGAGATTAGTTCCTTAGTATCCTTGTCTTTCAATATCTCATGGAATGGTCTCCAACACTAGGTACAGAGTCACAGATTTTTCTGGTCTGCCCCTTTGAACTCTGTAACAGCCTATCACCCAACTACAAAGCTGCCGCCTGTAGAGATATTTTATTCGTGCTGAAATGTGATGATATTTTATGTGTGCTTTAATAAATAAAATTTGCCTGGAGATCAGAGGAAATAGAAAGCCATTTTAAGTAAACAAAAAATTCAAGCAGCAGAAGCACATGCCCTTAATCCTATCACTTAGCAGGCAGGATCTCTGTGTGTTCTAGAGAACAGAGCCAAGTGTGGTGACACATGACTTTAATCCCAGTACCAACCATAGAGATCTGGAGGCCTGTACAGACATAAAGTGACAGAGCTGGCCAGGAAGAGGAAGTGATGTAGCTAGACAGAGAGGAAATCAGAAGGCAGAACAGCAAGGCAATAAAGATGTGGGTAGACAGGAAGTAACTCACATTTGGAAGCTGCAGAGTTGGTGAGGTAAGGCTGGCTGGTGGCTTTCCCTATTTCCCTGATCTCTCTAAGACCTTCACCCCTATATTTGGCTCTGTGTTTTTTATTTAATAAGACCATTTTAAAAATTCATCTACAAGCCTCCACATTCATAGGTATAGCAATAGTTATGAACAACTTTGTTGGCACAAATTTCCATGTTGATCAGTTTTTAATTATCAAAACAAAATGTCTGAAAAATATAATTTTATCAAGATAAAAAATTATGGATGTAACAATTCTGGTTGTCCAAGGGTAGAATGCCAGTATTGGCTCAGGTCTGATGAGGATCTTATGATACATGACATCTTAATGGTGGGAATATATGGGAGAAGAAGGGATCACATCACCAGGAAGGAAGCAGGAGTGAGGCTGGGCTCCTCAAATCCCTTCTGGGGTCATGAGTACAACTAACCCCAGTATCTTCCATTAACCCTCACTTCTCAGGGACTCACCATTTATTTCTGTTCTCATTACAAGAACTTGTCTGCATTATATCTGTGCCAGGAGATTTTATAAAGGATGAAATTAAGAATGAAGAACAAGCTAGGTAGTAGTGGTGCATGCATGCCTTTAATCCCAGAACTTGGGAGGCAGAGGCAAGTGGATCTCTATGAGTTTGAGGCCATCCTGGCCTACAGAGTGAGTTCCAGGAAAAACACAAAGCTACCCAGAGAAACCCTGTCTCAAAAAAACAAAAAACAAAACAAAACAAACACAAAACAAACAAACAAACAAAAGAATTGAAGAACAGCTTATGTTTGGGAAGAAACTTTTAAAACAATGAATTGTTCGAGTTCTGCATTAACTGCTTTCAGTCAAAAATGTGAAAGCTTTGCAACTGTTCAGAAATAGAGTTCATAAAAAATAAGGGCATCAAGAGCACTCCAACCTTTACATGGATATACTTGTGAGGCAGGAGGATCAATTATCTTGGATAATAGTATTCTAGTAGACACAAGAACACAGGACACATTTTAGAAGTAAACAAATAATGGACTTAATCAGTGTGAAATCCTGTTTCAGTTTATCCCTGGGGCAAATGGGGCTTAAAGAGAAGAGAAAGGCAATAGGATTAAGGATCAGAAAAGCTCAAGAAAGAAACTAGACGATTTCCAAAGTGGACAAGTTCCAGTTCCTGGTCAATTGTGAGGTTGGGCTGCTGATACTGGAATCACAGAATACACACCGAGCTACATTGGAACAAGGGGGAGGACATTTCCAAGTTACTGCCTAACAGTGTTTACTTTTTGCTTGCTGTGCTGGGAAATCTTTTGCTAACCTTCTATTACAGAGTAGCTGGTATGTGAAAATGGTAAGTGTATTTCTGTGTGAGTACAAGGAAGCAGAAGAAAAGCCAAAGGAATCTTCATTGGAGCTGGTAGGGTTTGAGGCACTGTCCCATGATACTTTAGTCCCATCAAAACATTTGAAAGATCACTGACTTCAGATGCCTACAAATTCTCATGGATTGCTTTTGCCAATAGGCAAGACTGTTGGTTAAGACATAGCTTGCTGAGAGGCCCATGAGGTAAAAGTTTTACCGAGGATCATGATAATAAAGACAAGTTTATTCATACTTTAGAGGAAGAAAATAGATCCTTTTTGCTTCATTCTGTTATGAGCTCAGCAGAGTTTATTATTTCAGGGAAATATTTATTAAGACATAACTGAGGCTCTTAGTGGAAGCCAATTTCAACTTAGGAACATCTAAATATATCGTAGCAAACAGGATCTGGATGGCTCCTCAGAAAGAGCTGTCGGGAAAGGCCACAGTAGTGACACTGTGTGCCTAAAGAAGCTCCCGTGACTAAGTGTGTTATGGTCTTGTACAGTTACACTTATGTAGCTGCAGGGTCTGCCCTTACATAGGAATGGCTGTCTTTTCTCTTTACTCTTTGAATTTCAAACACTAGAATGCAGTTATGAAACCAAGGTAAGTAAAGAAAAGGAAAACTCATTTTGAAGGCATCTATGGTCAAATAAGATACCCAAGAATCAGAATAACCTAGGAGGTAAACAGTGGCTAGGGAAACAGGTACTTCAGGGACAAGGGGCATCTTAGTAATGATCTGAGTGTACGATGTGTGTGTAGTGCTGTGAGTTCTCTTATGCCCTTTGTCTACATTCTGCTCCAGCCTGAGATTTCTGGTAGATGCTTCCCAGTGTCTTTTGGTAAGAGATGGATACGTTTAGGGGACCATACCATTTTACCACACCGGCCAGGCTCTTGAGTGCTCCTTGCCCCTTCCAACTGGACATGCAAACTTGATTCACTGCATGGAGGCCTGGCCCCAGCCAGCTCTCTCTGTTCTAGGTGCTTGGCACAACCTCACATTTCCCTCAGGCAGAGGTTGGCTCCCTAGGGTGACTGAACTAGGGGAGGATTGCATGGGGTTCCACGCACAGCTTTGCCAATTCCCTACAGCAAGATTGCCTATCTGTCTATTCAAGTCTGTCCTCAAGGCAGGTTAGCTCACCATGTGACTCAGACCAGAGAGTCCTGACATGGTATGCAACACGCACAATTGTTTTTCTTCAAGAACCTCAGGGATCTGAGACACTATTTTGAATATTTTCATGAGTTTCTCTTTCCTAGCACATCCCCTCAAATACTTTGTAACAGCAGGGGGTCAAAAGAGGGGGAAATGGGAAATGGAAATGACTGGAAAGTCTGTTTGAAAGACGCTGCTTTGCTTTCAGTGTGCAGGACACCCAAAGCTACACTTCCCGGAGTGGTTTTTAGAAAGGAATACCGGATGGTCAAATTTCAAAGAGAGACTCCAGCCTCTCATCAGGCTGGGGGCTATGACAATGCTCTGCTGAACACCGAAAAGATCCTTTCAATCAGAAAGGCATTGCGTGTGCACCAGGGACAAGCGTTATCTACCACACGATCTCAGCAAGATTTACCACCACTTCTCACTTTCTTCTGAAGCATCGTGAGTGTAGCAAGTGTTTTGGTAGGCTGAAGAGTTTGGTCTTTCACAGTCTTGTCCCCGCAAATGCTCGAGAGTAAATGAAAAGTTTTCCGAGTCAGTATTTTAGAGAATCTTGGACCTTGTAACTCTGTATGCATCTTTTCTTGTCTAGAGAAGAAATTCCCTTATAGCCACATCTAAGCTTTTAGCAGCTACACATGACGAAATATTAGCTGAAGTGCAGAGTCAACACTGTAAAACATCTCATGAGAGAAACTTTGAGAAAAGACTGCCTTAAAAATGGGTTGCTATGAAAAATGCAGATTAAGGTTGTAGGAGATAGCTTCTTACCTGGGCTTCTTTGGGGATTCCATTTTTCACACAGTCAGTGCTTTGCCATTTTCTGTGCTGAGTCTTGGGATTGTGGACAGTCCCATTAGTAACAGCACTACCCTTAGGATTGGCCATCGGTGGGAAGTGCTTGAGCCCAGCAGGTTCTCTTTCTTTCAGAGATCTTCTGGAGCTTCAGTTTTCAAGTAGCTGAAGTGATGACATAAAGGACTTTGGGGCTGAGCCCTTAAAGGAATCCTACCAGTCAGGCTTTTCCAGAAGAAGAACCACAGTCTATCTATTGACTGGATCTTTAGTGGTTACCTTTTACTAGGCTATTCCAGTGGCACTGTGGATTCCATGGCAACAAACCTGCTTCTGAAACTACAAAGAAGTTTGCTCTGTAAACTGCTCTCGGAGGCAGAGGAAAGCTGGAGACAGAAAATATCAGGGAGACACACTGAGGAGGCGGGCTGAGAGGTGGAGAGACTTTTAAAGACATACACAGCACACTCACTGAGTACACATTGCTGAAGGGCTGATTACAAAATTTTCTCCTTCTTGTATCACCCTCTTCCCTTCACATTTAGTTATTTTTTCACTGTAAGCTAAGCTTATAAATCAAGATTTCTTTGTACTAGAAAATAACATTCATGAATGATTACTAGGGGCTGAAGGGACAAGGGACTGGGGAGCTGTTGTCTAATGGGTACAGAGTTTCAGTTGGGATGGGAGAGAAGCTTGTGGTCATGAGTCACTGAACAGGGATGAGTATATATGTAATGTCATTGAATTGTACAAGTAACAAGATTAAAGTGGTCAGTGTCCTAACATGTTAAATGTTAAAATCATAGCAGCAATGATTATAACCCACATATAAACACATGTACCATACAACCATCAAAAAATTCAAGACACAGAAATCAGTAAAACAGAACATTCTAATTCTTACCAGAAATACATCATTTTTTTTTATCATATGACCTTAGAGGAGCCATTTACTTTCTCTATGTTTCAGTTTTTCTGCCTATAAAATGAGACAATGTATTTGGTGAATTAGCATACGTAGAGCAGTAAGATATGACACTTGGATTTGAGTTCCCACTGACTCTTTTGTTGTGAGGCATATGGTGACCACAGGGTCCTAGTCCACGAACATCTCTGGCTTACTCCTTACCTCTTCTTCTTTCAATACAACAGTCATCAGAAGTCTGTTTCTTCCCTTGATCATCAAAGGGCACTGTGGTTTGTTGGGTAATACCAATTGTTTACAGCCCGTTGAGTATTGCTGAGCCTACCTCTGTGGTTTTCCTCGGTTGATATCAGAAAATCCTATCTGAAACTAAAGGCCTTAGGAGTAACATTCTAGGGTATGGTGGCACACTCCTGTGATCCCACTATTGGGGAGCTAGTGGTATGAGGATTGCTAGTTCTAGGCCAGTTTGACAGTATGGAATATGTAATGAGGCCCAGGCCAGATTGAACTACACATTGAGACCCTCTCCTAAGTTTTTTTTTTCTATTTCTGTCTCCCTACCCCTCCCAGAACCATATTCTGATCTTCTCCTGAATGCTGAAACTGAATGTTCTGCTCTTGAGATGAGTCTCAGCAATTTAGCCTCCTTCCACAAAGCAAGCCATACAACCTAAAACTCTATCCTCATGTTTGCTATTTTGGAGCTCACCATAAAGTTCTCTGGTATACTCTGTGTGGTAGTAGACCATATGACTCTCTCAGGTGTCCTGTCCTGTACTTGAGAGGAGATATGCTCTACTAAGGGACTAAGAAGAAACTGAATATATAGGTCAGTTTCTTAATTGAGTATAAATTGAATAACATAAACCTTGGAATCCACCTTGTCTTTTATTCATCCATCTGAATGTAACTATGTCATACAATGATATAATTTAATACACTTGTTATATTTTTCTTGTTAATTTACTATGCTACTGTCTTTTAGCATAGAGATGTCAGTCATGAATCTTTGTGAACAGGGAGGGGATTGCTCCTTTTCCTGTCTTCACACAGAATCAAGACTGTTTGACACCAGGTACCTAAAAATGAAGTACACTTATTGGGCCAATAGTACAAATGAATGAACAATCAAGCAAAGCAATAAAACAAAAATAAGAGGAAATAACATCTGTTGCCAGAGTCTTATATCCTGGATCTAAACTCTCTTGTTTAAGATTTGTTCCTCTCCTAAATGAAGTGACTTCTAGAAGAGTTAATTGTAACAATAATGTGACCACATTTTTCAGGCAAGAATCCCCATTTTTCCTATCCCTGGATGAGTAGAATGATAATATTGAGTTAATTCAAAGTGTATGTCCAGCCCAGTGTGTTCCACCACAGCATTTTTATTGCATTTGTCCCAACCCCTGTCATCAGAGCATAACGAACTTCTTACTGGTCTCTTTCTTCTAAGGCTGGTACAGTGTGTGTTGGGCACTAAGTCTTTGCTGGCTTGTTTCCTACTAAATTTTGCATAATGGAGAGATAAAGAAGTAGGAGAAAGTACAGATTATGGTTGGCCTGACTGACTGCCTCATGCCACCCAGAAAGAAAATGTGAAGGCATTGTGTTATTTTGGCTGAGTTCTATTGTTCTGTACAGAATTAGTAATAATATTTTGATCTGGATTTTGGAGGCCCAATCTTGAGACTTGAACTGGCCTGTGCCCGTGCTGTGACTATCATGAGGCTGTATCCACAACCAGTAACACTATGCTTTGAATAAGGATTTTAAGATAAAACTAACAATTTAGAGGGTATCTTCTTTCTTTCTTTTCCTCTTTTACATTTCTATTTTATTTTCTTTATACTTTCCTTCCTTCCTTTCCTTTTCATATTTTCTTTCTACAAGGAAACAAAGGCCACATGTAAAGAAAATATCTCAAAAGCATGTTAAGTTTCCCTCTATTCCCATCTATCAAATTTGGTAACCATGAATCAACCTTTAAGAGATATCTACTACAAGTTCTCACTCTTGAACCTGCATGCTTGTGTGTGGAGGCACCCATGTACGCATTTATATGTGTTCATCTGTGTGCAGGTGCATGTGGAGGACAGAGGTCAGTATCAGGTGTCTTCAACCTCCTTCCAACTTGTTCTTTCTTTTTGAGATTATAATTACATCATTTCTCTTTTCTGTTTCCCCCTCCACACCCTCTCATATACTTCTCTTTGCTTTCTTTCAAATTATTGTCCTCTTTTTTTTCACTAATTGTTGTACATGCACATATGTGTGTGCATATGCATATATATTTCTAAATGTAACCTTCTCAGTTTGCATAATGTTGCTCACATATATTCTGACCATTTCATATTGGAAAGTTCCTGGAGAAGACTAATTCTGCTCTGTGCCTTCCTTAGTTATCCACAGTTCTCTGTGCAAGGGTTAAAGCCTCATGAGCTTTCCCCTGTCTACTTTGGTATTCTGTTGTTAATGTCCCTTAGATCTTTGAGACAGAGTCTCTCTGGGCACCTAAGCCTTAAGGATTCCCTGTCTCTGCCTCCCAGTGTTGACTTTTTATGTAAGTAATCAGCATTTGAATACAGCAAGCACGTTGCTGACTGAGCTATTCCTCCCCCATCCACACTCTTAAACCTTCTCTGTTTTAAGTGTCATACAGCAATGCATATATGTTGTCACATGCTTAAAATCACCTTGGCTCACCAATCCTTTGCACTGAGTACGGGAGTGTAATCAGTGGTGGGTCATTGCTTTGTTTCATCTATCAAAGTAAATGTGAGGTTCTGCTCAAGTGAGTGGATATTTTAGGTTTAACAGTAAATACTTAGCAAGGTTTTAGTGTTTTTTAGTAATGAAATGAATTTCAGGTTAATCATTAAACTTGATAATGGTTTGAATAGTTACTGCACACTTCATTTTTGCTGTGTCTTCAGGCAGCAGCATTTAATCAAAGACCCTCAGTTTCCTTCTCTCTAAGAACTAAGACTTAGCAGTGCCTGCGTATCTACTATTTAAGATATAGTTCATTGTTTCAGATCTAAGTAAACTTATCCTTGAGTGGGGAACAGCAAAATCAAAGCTAGTTAATGATAGTTTTATGTTCTCTGATGGGACTTTTGTTTTGCCCAGAAGTCTGCTTCTAAGCAACTCTGTTAATGGAACAGACACAAGGGAAGATAAGAGAATGCAGATAGACAATAAAGAGATGCTCCAAGGCTTCTCGGTATATTCTGAAGAAGCTCTTAGATATATATATAAGAGTTGTCAGGGAATGAACAAAATGAATGGTTAGAATTGTATAGAATTGAGTCAATGGAGATTTGTTGCTTATCTCATAATTCTATTTTTATCTATTTGATAGGGTAAGACTGATATGAAAACAAAAATTTCAAAAGATTAAGTAACTTCTCAAAGTCACAAGAATAATATGCAATGATAGTAGGTCATGAACTCAAAAATATCTGGGCTCAAGGTGAGAGATACCAGTGTGTGTACCATGATATCTCCCCTTAAGATACAGATTTGAGGAACCTTAGCCACCAAGGAAAGAAATAACAAAGATTGTTAGGGCTTAAAAGATTTCACTTGTGACCAAACAATGAATAAATACTTTATTTTGCCTTTTTGATGCAGTAACATCTTGTAATCCACTAAATAGTTATGAAGAATTAATGACATCTCAGTGTTGACTCATAAATCTACATAGAGCTCAATTTTCCTGAAAAATTAAGTCTGAAAAAATTCTGAGAGTGTAGATATTTCATTCCCCAAACTGCCTCAACACCAAGATTTAAACACAATTAGCATAAAAATGCCAACTATATGTGACCGAATATCAAATCTGGATTGACCAAGAAGTCATTGAATTTGTTTGAGAAAATAAAAAGTAATCACATTAATTTGTCACTTATCAGGTGGAAATTATAGCTTTTAATCATCTTAGGTTTAGAGCTTCTAATCAAGATCAAGATAGATTTAGTTTTCATATCTCCAGGTTTTGTGGACTACGAAGATTAGGAAGATTATATGCAATACACATTCATCATCTCACAGTGTTGCCCTGAAATACAACCTGGCTCCAACTGCAGGTTCCATCCACATCTTGTTCAGATTCTTTTGGCTTGGCTAGAGGTCCTTGAGAGACACTTTACTGTGTGTTATCTGCTCTCTATCTCTTCCTGTACCTGGGCAGGCCATGTGACCATAGTTGCCCTTTTCTGTGCAGTGTGGGCCAAGTGAAGTGAGGATTTTATATTGATGGCATCTGACTTGTGCCAAAAAGCACAGGATCTCTGTTATATTTCCCTC